TCAACAACATCTTATATGCTCCTGGTAAGAATTACAATGGATAGTGGTCACCCAAAATACTACTGCCTTATGCCACCCAGCCTAAAACAATATAACACTTCAATCAAAATAGCAGCAATATTCGAATGGGACGAGGCAAGTCTGAGAACTTTCTATAATACTCATTGATCGTCAGCTTTCCTTGTCTCACATTTGCAAACTCTTGCTTATTATCATCCATATATGCCGGAGGAATAATTCTTTTCTTTAAATAAGTCCTTAAACAATTCTCAATCGGCTGTTTCCTCCGGTGACAACGAATTATACTCCTGTTTCCACCAGGATACAAGTTCATAACTCAAATCAGGTAGTCATCTCAACCCTTCTGTCAAAAGGAAGATTCCTTTGACTTGCATAACCTAAAACATCCTTTCCAATTGGTTAATCCATCATTTTGCTCCCTCAGGTTCAGCATTTCATAAGGTGATTCAAATTCAACTCATAACCCATCTTAAAATGTCCCTTTAGATAATATACTGAATCACCAAGATAATAGTTTCCCCTAACAGCTAAATCAGGGAGACTAAGTTCCTCTAACTACGTGGTTTGCTACGAGGCGGTGTAGTTCTGACAGAATTCACTAGAACTTCTCATGATGTCCAAGATTGAAACTAGGCTCTGATACCAACTGACACACCCCGTCCCGAAGGAGGGCATGCTGGCCGTCACGTGAGAGTGACGTAACCATTTACACAGTTCGGAAGCTTTAAAATATACAACTTCTAAGATGAACCACCCGAAGGTGAGTCCTCATTTGGTCCATTCTGTCAGAACACCGTTGAATTTCCTCGTAGTCACCACACCTTTGCATATACTTGAACCTGGAGGGGCGCAAAACCAAAATTGAGTGGGTCAGTAAAACAAATCTTTTTCAGATCCAAACACTTCTCAAAAACTTTGTAACCCCTCTCCGTAAAACTTGTATACTTTCCCAGAAATAAAGTATATACTCATATACGTAATATAACTCAAATTATACTAGACAATATGAATGTATGTCATGCCAAGTATCATAACAGAATGCTCATCATCTCTATGTGAATATGATGGAATAACATATAATCAATTCAACATTCGGCTATAAACATAGTTCATACTCTTTCATTCTAATCAACTCAGCCCTCGGCTGCATATATAACTCATAATTAACTCATCACATCAACAGCATAACATCTGGCAGCCGGAGTCACCTAATGTGACCTGTACGGCTGCATATAGAGCTCAAATCTCATTCACAATAACTAAACAACTGAACCTGCCCACGAGTCGGAACCACTTAATGTGGTCTGTACGACAGGCCTGGGTGTTACGTATATATACGTTCTAGTGCTACGATCACGTGAAGACTGGGCGAATAATCGCACGTCACCTACGAGTCGGAACCACCAAATGTGGTCTGTACGACAGGCTATGCACCTAGCTTGGATCCAAGCTGAGCATAAGGTGCGGGGAGGTGAACATCACGTGAAGGACTAGCCCTGCTCAGGGCGAGCACTAACACCGGGGATCAGGTTATGAGCTCTCTAAACATCTCAAGCTACTTCTCAATCATATTTCAATTATATCTCAATCATATCACCAACATATCTTAATCGTATAATTCATCATATTTCCATAGTATTTCAATCGTATTCCAAACGTATTTCATACGTATATCAAATGTATTTCATACGTATATCGAATGTATCTTACCTGGGCCTCCTTAGCACCATGCAACAGTATGCATAATTATGGTAATGCACATATTAAAGTATGATGCATGTATGACAGGATATTTAATTCGTATTTCTTTTAAAATACGTTTTCTGGGAAATACGTCAAGTATACGTATATATATACGAAAAACAAAACTGCCCACTCACAGATCACATCGACGTCTCGAAGGTCCCTGAGCCTCCCCTAGATTGGTTACATTCTTCTTCTGTATAATTTTCACCTATACAAAAAGTAACCAACTTGACGTTATTTAACGCACATACACCAAACAATCGTCAATAACTTTCTCATACGTTGCTCGATTTGGGTGTGTGAATATACCACGGTGATCTACACGACGTCACGAACGCGTGACAATTTTCAGAACTCAATTTGGAGGTCCCACGCGCCCTCACGCGCCCAGTATACGCGCTGCCCACGCGCGCGTCTTCTTCCTCGCGTCGCCGGACTGGTTTCGCCGGAGGTGGGTGTTTTGCCGGAATTTCTGGGTAAACTTCAAAGTGTCATAACTTCTTCATTTCTTAACCATTTTCGACGTTCTTTATATCAAAATGAAGGTATTGACGAGACGAACACATCCATACCTGACTTGACCCCTAACTCGCCGTGGATTCGCCGGAAAAAGCCTCGAAAGCTCCGGCCAACTTTGAACCAAGCTATCCCGACGTCCAAATTTGTCCAACGAAGTACTCCGAGCTTCCTTAGGACCTCACCAAGCTTCCTACAAGCTTCAAAATCCCAAAAACATCAAGTCTTTACGTGTTCATGAACAGTGCACACGCACAGTGAAATTGAAATCCATGTTTTCCGAAGTGAAACTCACCTGAAATTGGTACCATCGTGTTCGTGTGGTCCTCAGGAGTACGATGGTGGTCTTAGATTCTTCGTTGGTATAGTTTTAGGGTGGTTTGTGGGTGGTCTGTGTGAATTCGAAGGAGAAAGAGAGAACAGACAGAGAGAATGAGAGGTTTGTGAGGGAGGAGAGAGAGAGACAAGATGCAGAAATAGGGGAGAGATTTGAGGGATGTGGGATCCTACCCAATCCCCAAATCATCAAGTTACAACATATTTTACGCCCTTTAGTCCCGTTTAAGGGCATTTTCATAACTTCACGTCCTCGGAATTAAAATTCCGGGACGGGTTGTGACAATCTTTAACTGAGATTAAATATTTTTACTTTAGGAAATTTATTTTTTAACTGAGAAACAATTTTTTTTTTTTTTACTCTAATAGTTATGGGTTAAAATTTTAGTTTAAGATTATTAAATAATGAATTTATGCTAAAAGTTTTTAACCTATTTTTTTTCAAAGTAAAATTTACGTAGATTATAATAATTCATTTTATAAATATTTTAACTATAAAATATTTAAATTCTGAGAAAATTTAAAAATTCACTAAAACGACTCCACAAAACTTGTATTTTAATGTTTTTGGGTGAATATTGATTTAATTATATGTTTAATTTTTTTCGGAGTTGGATTTAATTTTGAGCTTTTTTTTTTTTAATTGTTAGATTTGATTATATTTGATCGTAGCCGTTGGATTTAATGTATTTAAAATTGCCTAAATTTTAGCTTATACCGTAAAACTTACCTTAAATCCAACCAATGGAGAATGATTTGGTTAGTTTAAAACCTAAATTTTGGTGGACTTTTTTTAACCTAGACCTAAATTCTATGATAAAATTGCCCAAATTTTAGTTTAACCCAAAATTTATCTACAATAAGGGAGAGGGGTTGAGCTTAGCCTCATAATAAATTAGTAATAACGTGATTCAAATTCGCCTTTTATGAGAATTGAACATAAGACCATTCATTTGCAAGTGTAGCGGAATACCATTTGATCGTAGTACTAAGTGGATAGTTAGTTTAAAATCTAAATTTTAAATTTTAACCCAACGTTTGAATACAATCTAAATAGATTCTTTCAAAATGGGCCTCTAACTTTGGTTGCAACTGTCGTATTGGTTGAAAATATTGTTACAATAATTATACTTTACAGAAGTTGGTTAACATTCTTTTTTTATGCAATCCTAATGGGGATTTCAAAGAACAACTCTTTTTTTTTTTTTAAGTAACTATATGGTGATGCACAAAATTTTAAATTTTAAAATAGGACTTCATATAGATTATAAAATATTATAATACATTAAAAATATAGAAAACGAGCATACAATTAGTGTTTATATAAATATTCAATAAGTTTTTTACATTTTCTATTTTTTTAATTTTCGATTGTCGGTTCAAATTTTTTGAAAAATATCAATTGCCAAGGATTAATTCATGATATTTTCCTACACTTTCTAACTTTTAAAGCACTTATACTTTCCGTTTGAGTAAATTGTAGTTAATGGTCCTTTAACTTTCACTCAATTAGAACAATGGTCTCTCAACTAAAAATCCATTACCATTGGTCTCTGAACTCATCAAAACGTGCAGCTATGGCCCCTTAACTAAAAATTCATTACCATTGGTCCCTCAACTTTCATTCAACTGGAAAAATGGTCCCTTAACTTTAACACAATTGTAGCAATGATCCTTCCAACATAACTCGTTTTGACAAAAATTTTGACGTAATTGACGAAAATGACCATAATTAGACACTTTGATGAGTTGAGGGACTCTTATTATATAAATGGTTATCCTAACATAACTTATTTTGAGAAAATTTTAACGAAATTAATGAAAATGACTATAGCTACATATTTTAATAAATTGAGAGACTAATAGTAATAAATTTTTAGTTAATAAATCATTGTTGCAATTTACTTTTTCCGTTTTGATTCACACCACTCAGAAGATACGGCGTGCGAGAGAACAGATGATAATGGGGTGAAAAGGTCCTTAGCATTTTGCGATGATGGATACCGATCTAGTCAGTCTTCGGTGTAACTAGGAGTCTGCAAAATGAAAGAGTTCAGAGAGGGTCCCAGATAAGACTGCCCTTTGGTATTATATTATTATTTTGTTTCGTTCGAAGGCCTGACCGCCGCGCACGTTTAGCAAACCACTAGAAATTGCTGCCCGCAGCAACGCGGGATTAGAAATTGTATGTAAGATTGATAAGCTGATTCTAAATCATCAAGTTTCCAACTGCGATGCATGACAATCAATTGAAACAATTGAAACGTTTTCTCTAAATTATTAAATAGCATTTAGCACAAACTGACTTGCAAATTCAAATGCAAGAATGCAAATGAAGATAAATTGTCAAATTCCATACATGTCAAACTTCATTTAGGAAATTGAAAACCATAAAAATAAATTGATAAACCCACAAAGATAGTTCACAATTATAAATGTTGAATGCTGATAAAATATATAATACGATGATCTCGGTTTCTCTCATAATTATAGAATGTTGAATGCAAACAACATACCCAAATTACCAATCAAACCAATCAAAATTTCCACTCCTTGGTTAATATCAGAGAATGCCAAATCCAAATCTACGAACCCCACACTGTCAACTGATTCCTTACCAAAATTATGGCAAGTATTGTTATAAAATTCCAATAATGTTGTTGGAGTACTCCTTGAACATGCATCATTTGGTATATCCATCCCTCCCTCTCTCTCTCTCTCTCTCTCTCTAAAAGTCATTGTTAACAGTAATTATATAATAACAGGCTAAAAGAACTGTCAACTACGTTATCAAGGAAAAACAAATGTCAATGAGAAATGAAGATAAAGAACCTTTACTGGTGTACTCAAGAAATTGAGAATCGTTATCTGCAAACGGCCTCCGATCAGATCACCTCTAAAATTCTAAGGTGCTACAGCTACTTTAAGAATAGCTTATGTCCAATACAACCCTGCAAGAATAGTCATTCTTCAAAATTTAAGCAGGATTTGAAACAGGGCATTAAGATAAGGTTACAAATATAGTAAGCTCCCAATCGAGTATTTAAATGGAAGAGATATGTGAAGGCAGTCAAAGAACCCAAAAATATCAATGTTTCAAACGAATATCTGTCACAAAATTATTGCACTCGAACTACCCTAATAACACGTCATGGGCATACTCCCATGATTATCTGAAAAGATATCGTTGGTTACCGTTGACAATATATGGCATTCTCTTAAATTGAAAGCGTAAACAATGAAGAATGCACATGAACAACACACAATTTCTTTGGAAAACAGTTTTACAATGCAGTAGTTTTGAATTGGAAATTCAAAATGAACTTTTTGTTCTAACTCTTGTATTGCATTAATGTGTCCAAGAACATCTTGTAATCTCAAAGAAGCTTATGATAATTAATATAATAAAACCTAAACAAAATACCAAATTCAACTCCAATATAACGAAAAACTAAATTAACTTGTGGTGAATTGATGGCTTACTTTTTACAGCAATTTTGTAATTACAAATTCTTCTGTTAAATTATGGTGACCGGGAGATGTTGAAGCTGCATAAGCTATTTGAATTATGCCTACTATAATCAACCAGGGAAGAATCCTTTGTAACCAAATAGAGGTATTGGAGGACTGATACCCATGAAAGCTGATATGCATTCTATAAACAACAGAACTCTACCAAGTTCACAATTCTCTTAAATTCCATTAAAAAAATCTACCAAACGGAAAATTCACTTGGAATTTACTGTTAAGCCAAACTACCAAGAAATTGGAACTTATTTTGTAAAATAATTAACCTTGTCAAGTTGAAGCAGCTCCAATCTTGGGGTTGGCGACCTCAAGCATTGTGGTAACTCCTCTTTTCTCATCATCCAAAATTGCTCCTTTTATATAGAGTATCCATCAATGCATTGCTGCTCAACACCCAAATCATCAAATGCGAGAAAAAGCATATTCTAAGGTTTAAATGGAATTCCACAAATTCCCCAAATGGGCAACTCTAGAATTGTAAAGAAATTGTCTTTATCAAATCTTCAATTAATTATAGCAAAACCCAAAACTCAAAAAGTTTTAATCAGCTTACATGACCACTCATCAGCAAGCTCAGAGCAACAAAACCCAACAAACCCAAAATATTCGAATAAATCCCACAAAAAAAAAATATCTACTTAAAAAAACCTACAAACAACAAATAACTCACTACTTTTTCATACGAATTCGAACAGAGGTATAGAACATACCGGTTTGAAGCAAGAAATCACAGTGAAAATCCTCGAGGAAGCCACGTTGATCTCAAGAAGCAGAGAAAATTAGGGATTTTTTTTTTCTGACTCCAAATCATCCTTAAGACGGCGTTATTCCGTCGAAAAAGAAGAAAAAAAAAAACCAAATTAGGGATTTTTTTCAGTGAAGAAAAAGAGAAAATTAAAAGAAGAGAAAAGAACATTAGGCTTTTATTTAAACTTTGGGGTTTCCAATTTCCGATCTCTCTAGGCAGAGGAACAGAGATAAAGCAACAACAGTAGATTGAGAAAGGGGAAGAGCGGCGGTGGTACTTGCAAAGCTCGAATGTTCGTGCATGCAATTAGAATAATTATTTATCATATGTTTTGATGATGATTATGTATAATTACCTGTTACCCCAGCGAGGGTGAAGCTCAAGAACCAGAACCTGTTCTTCAAAGGTGATGTTGGCACGACGGACATCGGGGAGGAGATAACTGAGCCACCGTAATCTGCAGCTCTTTTCTTTTCAGACCTGGGTTTGGTTGCAAAATTGAAAACACATGGTCAACTCGTTAGGCAACAATTGGTAAAAGCAAGAGGGATATGAGGAAATATAGAGATAAAAAAAATACCCAGGAGAAGGAGCGGAGGAGAAGGAATGAGGGAGGAGCCTGGACGGGGAGAAGTTGTCTAACGGAGGAGAAGGGAGGAGATGCCTCGAACGGAGGAGGATGTTGTGGTTCGCAGTTCTGAGAGAGTGAACCGGAGAGGTTCATCGGGAAACAAACGGAAAAGCTTCGTTCTCGAAACAAATGGAAAGGCCGAGCTTTTACATTCCCACGATGACCAACACGTGTACAGAAGGGGTAAATTAGTAAATGAATTGTACAACGGAAGGAAAAAGGCTGAATATGGCTAACAATTGAAGGGCAAATCCGTCAAATCACTATTGCTGAACAGTGTTCATCAACTGAGTTTTAGTATATATAATTTCACCTTTAAAACTTTAGTACCCATTATTCCTAAATTAAAATGTGCATGGCAAAAATATCTAACAATTTATAAATTCTCTAGCATTTCAAATGTACATGATAAATAACGTTTATCAATTAAATATGTCTCTATTTCTATTTGCTCATGCATTTGACATTTGAAAATTACAAAAAGAACAGTCATTAGACACACCAATTTTTCATATTAATTATTTACTATACATAATTATAAGCTAAAATACAGTAAAATGCACCTTAAAAAAAACAGGTGAAATCCCTGCAACATGTTTGTGAGTTGTCAAGCACATATCCATCTCTAACTAAGCTTAACAAAAAAAAAAAAAAAAAAAAAATTATGTTATAAAAATTGTAACTACATGGAAAATAATTTCAATTATCAACCAAAAAAAAAGAAAAAAACAAAAAGAAAATTATGTTAATGAAAATTGTAACTTCATGGAAAATAATTTCAATAGGGATGTGCTATCTACACACCACATTTTATTTTTTACACACTCCTTGATAATTTATGTCTGTTAATCTTTTTTAATTTATCCGATTCGACGGTCGAAAATTAAAAAAATATGTGAAAAGTAAAATAGGGTGTATAGATATCACATCCCATTTCTATAATCAACCAAAAAGAACAAAAAATTGCTGAATGGTGCCGTGCTCTTGTTTTGTTGGTGTTGTGTCATATGTCTAATCTGAGCATCCTCTGAATGAATATGGACCTGATGGGTATCAAAGTTTAAAAGGGTAAAACGAAAAGAAAAAAAAAAAACAAGATGACCGATGAGATAGTGGAGTGAACATTTAAGAATCATCATTATGAAAACAATATGAAGTTCAGTGGTGGATCCATCGATTGTCGAATGGATATATGAAGCCAAACCAGTCGACAACGATTGTCTAAACCCTAGAATCACGTTCCACATCACTTGTATCTTGACGAGCAAATTCAAAAATGCAAGAGAGGGGTTGGTTCCTCCGTGGTTCGACATTACGTTCGACATGGATTGTCCTTCCTCCGTGGCACTGGCAACTATCAATTTCTGACCTTCATTATTTTTTTATTTTTAAAAAAATTATAATATTTTCTATCTTGAAAGCGAGAAGTTGAGCTTAGTTTCATAATGGACTAACAATAATTTGGTTCAAATTCATCTTTGACAAAAATCGAATCTAAAACTTCTCACTTATAAGTAAAAATGAATACCACTAAAAAATAGTACTAAGTGACACCACTTTCATTATTAAATTACCAGGAAAAAGATCTCCACCACATAAACAAGTGAACATTTTTACTCACCACCATTTAGTGTGATGTATGTTCACCACCCTATTTATCATAGAAGAGTTTAAATTTCGAGACTCGTGTAGTGGATAAGCACAAATCTCAAAATTCAAATTCATCTAACGATGATAAATAGAGTAATGAGTGAAAAGGCATTCCATAAACAAACCCTAATTTCTATTTTCAGCAAAAGACACTTGAACTATTTTATTAATTAATTGCACCGGCACACATAATCCAAAAATCCTAAAAAGACCTTTTGCTGTATATATAATCACAACAACCTCTCTCCTTACGCTATCACTCTCTCCTTTTATGCATAGCAAAATGAAACGTTTTATTGCAACGATATTCCAACTGCTCGATGCTCTGATAATCAGTCCCGTTGATCGTGATCATCCCTATGGCGAACCAGACCTAGAAGCCCCGGTGCTGCAAGTTCCAGATCAGAGGAAGTATGATAAGTTCCCAACCAACAACTTAGATTCAAGGATAATTGTTGGGTTTTGCTTCACATCAGCAATCGGACTAGCGCTTATCCGCGTCCAAATTCCTCTAGGCCAGCTCCCTCTCCCAGTGATCTTTGACCTTCTTGGACTATCAGTCTTATTTGCTTTCACTTGTATCCTGGTGAGCAAATCCATTCACTCCAGCTACTCTCTCGCTGGAATATCAATAGCCGGCCTTTCTCATCATTTTGGCCTCTTCTTTGGGGTCACAGCCTTCTTCATATCCATCACCATCTCATTTCCTTTGTGGTTCAAATGTGCTGCCTATTCTATCTACGTCACCGCCTTCCTTCTTGTAGCTTTCTGCAATCTTCACTTCAATAAATATTACAAACCTCGTGGTTTTGAGTACCCTACCCCAGACAATTCAATTCCTACAACCGTCATTGATCCTGTGGTAGAATCAAGCCGAGGAAGTACTAGTACTGTTGATGATCAAGCATGCACCAGCAATATTGTCTGACTTGAAAGAACTCTCTCATGTACCAAGGATGCATATGGGGATCTCGTCGTGGGAAAGGACGAACTACTACATAGAATAGCAAGATATACTCCTCAGATATGGGGATCTCATTGTTGAAAATAAAAATGTATGGGGATCTCATCGTTGAAAATAAAAATGTATGGGGATCTCATGTTTTTTGTAAGTTTCAATATCCAAGTGTAATTTTGTTGTTTGGGCTTTAGTTTTCTGCAGGCTCTCGCTACCTGCTATGTTGCATCAATCGTATTTAATCCATTTGTTACTTCTATATATTTCACCTTTTTTTTTTTTTTTTTCCCTGGAACCAGTTCGATCCTGGGACCATCGGCAACCCAGAAAAACCCAGAGGGATTTCGTGAATCTAGAAAAGGTTGACGGGAAGAAGAAACAAAATTCCCCAGTCCCCACCCACCCCCTACCCTACCTTACTTGTGAATCTGGAAGTGGCAGTGGGAAACTGCCACCGTCGCCGCGATGCATCTCCTCCTGCAAAAGCCCAAAGGTTTTTTGTCAGATGATCATTGGGGTACATTTTGTTCACATCTCATGGACCGAACAAGACATGGTGGCCTGATGATGTCAATTGAGCCACAGATAGCAAATTTTTCTTCATTCCTGGGACATGATAAACATCTTGAAGTGGCACCTGGTTAGAATTATATCGAGGCTTAACTATTGTTTTACCGATGTGAGCTATCGGTAACCTTGAGTTGTCGGCTGTCACCACCACACGACCTCCCTTGTATTCAGATAGATTTTGCAGCTTCTGTTTATCACCCGTCATATGATTTGAGCAGCCCGAATCTACGATCCAATCATTTTTGTAGTCAATGCGTTCTGGTGTTGTTACCGTGAGGGCTAATTCTTCTTCTTCCTCCGTAGTGAATAATGCTTCAGCATCCCAGCCATCTTCACTATTCTCATTCGAACTGGAAGTAGCAGTATTACTTTCAACAGGCTCTTTCTTGGTCCAACAATCTTTCGCCATGTGGCCCATTGGTCCAACAATCTTTCGCCATGTGGCCCATCTTCCCGCAGTTGTAACACTTGCCACTAAACTTTTTACTATTACCGCGATTCTTCCAAGCTTCCCCAGAACGAGAGCCTCCATTTCCTTGGTGACTTTGCACCTTTTCTCCATCCTTTTTAGATCCACTACCAGTGTACCGCTTGAAGGTGCCTTTACTTTTGTTGGTGTAGAGTGCTTCCTCTTCACTCTTCAGTGAGACTCCTCCCATTTGCTTGGCCATAGCTTCTTGACCTGCAAGCAAATTTTCAAACTCAACAAGCGATGGTTGTGTCGGCCATCCTTGTATAGCGGCAATGAACCCTCGATATTCGGGTCTCAAACCATGGATAATTATTCTCTTCATCCTGGTTTCCCCAATAGGAGCTGTTGGATCTAATTCTGAAATTTCGCGGCATATCGACTTCACCTTGTGAAAGTACTGGGCAATCGTCATGTCGCGTTGTACCATCGATAGCAGCTCATTCTCGAGAAGTTGCAATTTTGTATCGTTCCTCTTCGAAAAGAGTGTAACAAAAGTGTCACATGCTTCCTTTAGCGTTTTAGCATCCCGAATGTGCTCCAACATTTCTTCTTCTATTGTGGTCTTTAAGGCAAACATTGATTTGCCTGCTTTAATTTTCCACTTCCGCAAGACGCCGTTAGCATCTTCCGCTGCCGGTTGTGTAACTTCACTACCACCGACTACCTCCCACAAGTCTTGACCTTGAAGGTAAGACTCTATACACGTTGCCCACGTGTTATAGTTTTGGTTGTTGAGCTTCTTGATTCCTCCAACAACTTGAAGATCACCCATCGTATCGGCAAGACTTTGACTACACCGAACAAGCTTGAGTGACTACCGTGCAGAGTAATACACTACTCTCGACACAAAGAAGCTCCCTCTCAAGGTTTGTGATAACCCCAGCAATAATCTCAAGAAATCTTTTCTGATGTGGAAGATTAGTCAAAACTGCAACCACAGAGCATACTCGGAATTTCAAGAGACTTTACAACCAATGCTCTACCAAAAACGATCCCTGACCGACTTGGCTCTGATACCAATTGTTGAATAAGAAGAGTATCCAAGATAACTCTAATGATCCCAAGAAGAAGAAAATAGAGCACACTCTTAAAGAAAGCTCACAAAACAAACTAATTAGCAAAGCTTTTCTTATTTAGCTCTAGGCTTTGTTTTTCCTTGGATGATATACAATGCTTGGGGACTTGGGTATTTATAGCAAACCAAATGAAAGCTACACCACACACTTAATTAAACTAAGATTATTTGCTACCACACAAAACCCATTAATTGCACCTAATTTTTTCCACTCAACCATACCTAACATTTTCCACTCAACCATACCTAACATTGCCTAACTTTGCAATTGTAAGCAATTTCATCATCAAACTAGATATGGTTTTGGACTTTAGATTGGGTTGTGGATTACTTATGGTTTTGGGCTTGACATTGATTCTCAACATTG